AAAAGTAATGCTAATTGTTATTTAGTTACAAAATGTAATTATCTAATTGAATAAAACTGATATAAACAAATGATTTGATAAAATAAATTAATTAATCTACGTGACAACAGGAAAGATACGTGAAAATTAGACGTGATAACTTAATAGTTACTAAAGCTTTATTTCAATGAAATAAATGATCTTAGCAACAGCAACATTTGTAAATGAATAAAATTAAATTGGGTTGAAATTAAAATGATTTCAAATTATACTAAAAATTTAACTTATAATTATCATTAAAAAAATGGAAAAGGAAAAAAAGAGTGGATAAAATTTTTGCATACTGTCATCACTTAATTACAATAATTAACCGGTAATTATTTACCTGTTTGTATAAAGAAACCAGTATTATTCTATTGAAAATTTAATTTTCTTTTTTAAAAAAAAAGTAAATATGAATTGGCAAGTTTGGTAATGGCAGTAGTAGTAGTAGTAGTAGTAGTAGTAGTAGTAGTAGTAGTAGTAGTAGTAGTAGTAGTAGTAGTAGTAGTAGTAGTAGTAGTAGTAGTAGTAGTAGTAGTAGTAGTAGTAGTAGTAGTGGTAGTAGTAGTGGGGGTGATATTAAATTTAATTTCAATTAACTTAGTAATCAAGTAAAATTTAAGATGAATTTCACATTAAAAAAGTAGAAAGATGAAATAAATTTACCTTAATATCCAAATGAACGATGTGATTATCGTGAAGATGTTTGATAGCAAATAAAATTTGTTGGATAAAAGCTGCTGCTTCAGTTTCACCAAGGCACTCTTTGGCTGATACATAATCGAATAATTCACCACCCGAGACTCTTAAAAGATTATTCATTATCCATCCTCTAATTTTTATTTCATAGATTCATGGGATATCTCAACAGGTGTCTCTCTTTTAACTCAGAAATTCTATTCACACTGATAATATCGTTCCAATCTTTCTTAAGTTTCTCATTTACTCTAAATGTACAGAAAGTTTATTTTTTAACTACAAACGTTTATTTTTTAACTACGAAAGTTTATTTTTTAACTACGAATAGAAATGATTTGATGATGAATTGCTGAATTCTACTGATAATAAGATCAGTGATAACGTTTAATTACCATGATATGAGATAAGATTTCGTCTCTCTTATCAGGATACATTAGTTTATTGATAGCATGGAAATGTTTATCCTTATCAAATATCAGATATTCAACTGAAGGATTCGCTGATACTTCATTAATGTAATTAGTGATTATAGCCAATAGGTCCGAAAAGTTGAGTGATAAAATCAAAAAAAAATTCTAAGAAATGGGAAAAGCAGTAGTGAAATGATTAGAAATGAAGAAATTCGTGGAAGGGGAAAAATAGCAGATGATTGTCACTAGATGAAAGGAAATGCCGACCTGAATTGATCAGTGTCTCATCACAAATTTCGTTATAGCTTAAATTGACACTTCCACTAGACTTACTTCTATTAGACAAGATATTTTAGCTTCAGAAGATGAAAGAGTCTTAGCTTCTCATGATTCTAATTTCATTGATCCCTTTCCCGCATCTTCCATAAGGAATGGAAAATTTTCGATATATCTCAGGATGTAAATTATAGAGCATAATAAAATGTGAAATTAGTCAAATTAGCATCATAAACGAATGCTCAAATAATGATTTTGTTATATTTCAAAGGAATTTCAATTTCAAATTCAAATATTCGAGTTTTTGTTTCTCTAGAAATTAAAGAATCATTTTTTAGCACATTAATTGATATAATATCGAAATGTTATCAATCTATTCTCATAAGCAAGATTTATTATACCTGAATGAAAGACTTACAGTTCCAAAATCAGGATAACATCAGATGTAGTTTCATAAACTTCGAATAATTTAATAGTATATTCATAGCCACCAACAACACGTAATACATCAATTTCACGTTCAATGTTACAACGTGTAACGCCACGACGTGAAGTTGCATAACGTCGTTTTTTGATAAATTTTGCTGCGAACTGCTCACCGGTTGATCGATTAATTACTCGTCGAACAACCGCAAATTGACCACTAAAAATGACCATCAAATTGACCGCCATAAAAATGCGATAAACGAGAAATTGAATGAATATTATCAAATAATTTCTTAACAATATTTAGAAATAAATGAATGTATAATTTTTAAGTAAAAATTATAAAGAACACATACAAATTAATTTACTAATTCTGATAAAATTAAACCACTTTTTTAGTAATATTTTATTAATTATCATCATTTCAGGTATTATTCCCGAAATGGAAAATAAAACTTTGACAGGATAAAATTGTCTGAGTTTGGAATAGTTTTTTTCAGGTAAGTAATACCTGAAACACATCCGGAAATATGCTTGTATTATAGAAATTGAAATAGTAGAGGTATGATAACAAAACGATGTTAGATTACCTGTGTAATAATGAATAAGTTATGCTTTAAGGTAAGAAATAATTGAACAAAGAAAGTTTTACACTTACTTGCCAAGTTCTTCCGCAATTTCGAAATGTTTCTCCAATGGTTCATCATTAAAATGTAAGGCTGAATTATCAATGCCGGAACTTGAGCTGCTAACTTGGTCGTGATAAGCATCTCTCATAGTTTATCTTGTAATTTACCTTATCACAATTTTCATAACAATTAATTGTCGTCCAATTTTATGGTATATTAATTAATAGTGAATTGCGGTTGTGCAATATTGCTAGCCAGAATCAAATATTTACCCTGTGAAATTTACACGCTTCGTACGCTTCGTACTGCAAGTAGACGTGAAGTACGTCTATTGTTCACGTTTGCCTCTCGTTTATATCACCGGTATTCAGGTTATTTCTTCACGAATAATATAATAAAGAAATACCGGGAAAGATATATATACATATATATCAGTAAAAGATCGTTATTTTTTCAGTATATTAAAGAAAAGATTTATTGATTTATAGGGAGCATTTTGATTGATAAAACAAATAGTTGTAATCAGTTATGATTAAGGAAGATGATAAGTTGAATGATTGAATGAAAGGTTGAAATCAATTTATCGTTAATATTCGCCCATTGAAAGCTGAAATTTAAGGAATCAATAATTACATACAACAAAATTAATCTCAAACGTAATCGACGGAATAAGTAATACAGTAATAATAAAGTAGAAATTTTTGAGTAAGATTTTTTTCCGGATAGAAACTTTTCGGTTTTCTACTTGTGAAAATAATCTCAAGCGTAATCGATGTAATCGACGTAATCATCTCAAACGTAATCGACGATTTATCAATCGAGCATTATACCAAGTGCTTTTCTCATTGTCCTGTCTATTTTCATGAAATTTCCCTTCCCGTAATCATAGTGTGCGAAAATAACTACAAACAATTAACGGGTAACTCAATCTAAATTCCCGGACAGCGGGATTTGGTATTTTTGAACGAAATGTTATGAAGGTAATAAGGCAGAACAGTAATACCAGATGTGTGTATATATGTGTGTGCATTTATGTGTTATATGATATATCTGCAGGTATGTTACGATTACGTGGAAAGAAATGAAAGAGACTGATTCCAGTCTTGCATACTATCCAGGTTTAATTCTGGTATCAGTGATTCAAACAATTTTAATCCTTCCAAATGAGCACAAAGAGCCTAGCCTGTTTATCCTAATGATTATGCAGATGGCCTTAATCAGAGATGATAATCGAGAAGTAAGGTTGAAAGAGGTTAATGAATGGATAAATTGCGAAAGAAGTTATGGAATGTGATGACGTTGAAATTATGATGACATTTGAACAATGAATAATCGAATAAAGAAAATGTAGTGGAAGAAATGCTAGCGAATTGATAGAAAGCGAAGAAATCAAGGTGTATCGGAGGGTGAAAATGTGATCATTTATTATAATATATTTTGTTTGATACTAATTCTATCAAGTAATACAAATGATATCTCAAATTTATTTAGTATCTTAAAATCCTTTTTATACACGTATTACACGTGATATTACACGTGATACGTGCAAATAACAACAAATAACTTTCATTTTGTAACAACGAATGGAAAGAAATTAAACATAAATAATAATTACAAAAGAAAAAACTAATTGGGATAAATATAGTAGAAATATATCTTCTTTACATGGAGAAAAGTAATGATATATAATCAATCACTTTTTTTTTGTCACTGGAATATTTGACATCAAAAAAAAAAAGAAAAGTAAAATGTCATTATTATTAAAAGCAAACTTTAATATTACAATATGTGGGGGAGAGAGGGAGGGAGGGAGGATGTAAGCTTCAGATAATATTTTTAGAAAGTTTAAAACATGAAAATCGAAGAAGTAGAATAAGCTGATAGTTTTAAAATGTGTTTTAAAAAAAAAAAAGGTTAACTGTTGTTCGAAATGAAGTGCTAAGCTATTACTGCTTCGTTTGTTGATATGTATCATTTATAAATCTTTCAGGAAGTTAACAACTGCTATTTGCACCTTTCTATCTTTTTAAAAATCGGAATTAACCAGTGTTCTTTCTTTCCTTTTTTTTTTCTTCTCTCTCTCTCTCTCTTTCTCTCTTGTCTGTGATAACTTTTCAAATGAATAAAAAAAAAATAAAGAAACAAAATGAGCATAATAAAATTTTCGACATTAAACTTAGTTATAATTTCAATAAACTTAATAAAAGTTTGAGTAATGAAAATTATCAATAATCATATTACTGTTAGGGATATCAAAGATTTGATTTTAAAAGTAATAAATGATTATGGATGTCATAAAGGTTATGATAATATAGTGGAAAGAAGAAAGAAGTTCTTGTTAATATTTAGGCATTATTAAAATGTCACCATAAATCATATGAATGTTTTTGATGTGGACAATTTTGATATAAGTTCTACTTAATTTCACATTATATTACGCATTATCTCAAATGATAATTATGATGTATTTAAAGGAAATGAAATGTTTCATATTCATTTGTTATAATACACTAATGTATGGCTTATTTTTGAGAGAAAAAAAGAAGAAGAAAATTAAAGGGGAAACGATTGGTTGGTATAATTGAATGGAAAAAAAAAATTTAAAGAGAGATGGTATTTTTTTTAGGAAGAAATAATCAATGAAATTGAAAAAGCACAAAAATAGGCCACATATTTTTTGAATTTGTATTGTTTGAATGTTTGCAAAAAGTACATAAGCAATGAGGAAGTCTCGACTCTCGACAAAAGCGCCAGCAGCAAGTCTTTGATATTGAGAAAGTAGAAATCAGAATAGTGAGGATGAGTTTTTTTTTCTGCAAATAATCCTGAAAAAAAAAACTTCCTGAATTCCTGAATATGGAAAAATCGATCATTCTTTTTTTCTCTCTCTCTCTCTCGCTTTCTCTCAGATTAACTTAAAGAATCCTAATATTGATGTAAAGCAATCTAAGATTTCGAAGTTAATTCATTGCATACCAGATTTAAAGATACTGATGACATTAACGAATGAGATTTAAGATTAATATTCTGAACTTATTAGAATCTCATATTTTGGTTTGTGATTG